CTTGTTACACCCGAAGGTTGACGCGTCATCGGAGCATTTCCGGCCGGTCCACGTTCACCCGTCTCACGGTGGTTGGGAAAAATGAAAAAAAAAAAAAAGTCCAAAATTTTCTTTCTTCCCACCGTATCCCTATGTATATATATATACACACGCACTGGTTGCGGAACATAAATATATCGCTGGCAATGAGCGTCACGGGTGCGTCAGATCGAAAGGGAGCGACACAATCGGTTAGAGTGTACCTATCCCTCGGTGCTGCATACCTATACCCACGTCGAAAGAATGCAGCGGCCGTAGCGAGAAAAATTGGCGCCGTAAATGTTTTCCTCCTCGTTACCTTCAACCGGCCGGTGGATTGACAGTAGCTGCAAACAGTTTAGCGTCCCGTATTGTACGCGTTTATTGTACCCGACTGTTGCGCACGGGGCAATCTTCGCGCTGGTAGAGCCAGACAGCGGTAAAAATATAGAAAAGTCGATACGCTCGGGGTAGGTAGGTCTACATATATGTATACGTGTTCTTGTACGCGCACCTACAGATCTGTTACTGACATTTGAATGCTCCATCGATTCGAGGCTCCGGTGCACGATCGTAACTTATACATATTATATCTTCTTGCGGTTGGAGGAAATGTTGTTTTTTTTTTTTTTGCGAAAATTATTTTCTGAAACGTCGCCTCGGTAGATTCCAAATCGCTTGCATCCCCCTTTTGCAGCTAACTAGGTACACGTATGCGTGAGTATAAGGTGTTTTTTTTTTTTTTATTTCCTCCGTCTCCTTGGGCATTGGCAGCGCGGAGCGAAGCAGCGAATTTTTCCCTCGGAAACGCGAGATTAAATAGCTCGGGGTATTATCAAATTAATTGTGTACTCATCTATTGGATTCCCGGGGTGGTTGGCTCGGCGGAGCAAACCGCGAAATCGCGATCTCGTCTTATTTACGAGCTCGTAATTAAATCTCGGCTGGTAGTATAGTGTGGTAGCGGTGGTGGAGAGATATTCAAAAGGGGGAATCTTCCGCGAGGTGAGGCACACATACCCGAGAGAGTAGGGCAATCCACGAAAGAGAGATAAAAAGCCCGCGTTTATCTGCAGGCATATAGGCTCGCCGCTCCAGCAGTTGGTCATTCGAAGATTTTTGCCGAGCGATTCTGCCCGGCAGCAGCAGCAACCGAGGCGCGCATTCATGCGTCCGCGCGGTATTTATTGGAAACGCGGTATTTATTGGGAGCGAGCCCCTGTACACGTTATTCCTCTCTCTCTCTCCACCCCCTCCTCCTTTTTTTACCCGAGACTCGTTGCTAGGGCTCATTGAATATTCCGCGGCCTGTTATTTACGGACACGCTCGGAGGGGCCCCCCGATTTATACATATTTCCTCCTTTTTCACGGCACCAGCTCTTCTGTCATTACACTTACTATTGTCCAATTTGAATTTCTCATTTCAATTCAAAGGCTCTATTCAACTCTCGCTAGATACGGCACAGCTGCACTTCTGGGGGCCTTTTCCCTTCTCTCGCTTTTACGTGTACATACGTACCTATGTATATATGTATTATACATAGGCTCAGGAATTCATGACAAATACATCGAAATTCGCGCGTATTTATACTTATAGGTATAAATATATACCTATGTGCGCTGCCCTTCTTTCCCCGGTTTTAACTCGAACCTCTGTTTTCCCACACTGTTGTATTACAGGCATAATGTATACACATTATAGGTACGCACGTACACGTACGCGGAGAAAATATATTCTATCCTCCTTTAAGGTATTTGCATTCCAGCGGCATTTCACCCGATGAAAATTTGTGTTGGCGATACGCGCGCGAGAATTACCTACATTTCTCCCACGAACACAGCAGCACCGGGTAGCGAAAAAAGCATATCTACACAGCTGCCGAGTGCAGAAACAAATGTTCCATGAGGAAGTTGTGGATACACAACGCGGGGACCGCAGCTCGCTCGAGCAAAACGTTTTAATTTGTCTTGGTCGTCGTCGCTGCCAGTGAGTACATACATATATACATACGCAAACAGCCGCGCACGTGAGAAGAGCGTAGGTATAGCGACAAATAGGAGATGGAGAGGAAAACGAAGAGGCGACAGGGACAATTGCCGGGACGTGAGCGCGTATACCTCTGTAGGTACCCATACGCGACACACGACCAACCGAGCATCGAAGGAGACTTTGCACTTGGGAATACTCTAGCCAGTTATCGCGTGTCCATTAGCCACTCGCCTCTCGACCCGTTCGATCGATTAGATTCTGCGTGGATACACCCACCACCTATCGCTACAAGTTAGGCACATCAACATTTATATGGATCACACGTATCTACTGCATTTTATGATTTTTTTTTTTTTTTTTTTATGACTTGAAATCTACAGTAAGAATAAGCAAAGGTCGATTTTCCAATGTACGTCGTCACACATTATGGTACGAGAGGGGACGGGGTAAGAATCATCGTTATTGGTTGCAAAAAAAGGGGAAGGGGTCGATCGAACAAAGGAGTAATATGAAGAAATAAAGAGATTGGGGTTGGGGTAGGGGGAGGGAAGAGCTCCGTGCTCGCGAGATTTCGCAAGTGATGGTCGGATCGGATGCTTCCGTCATGTTAAAGGTCCGAGCGGGGGATAAGAGTATTGGCACGGCGTCGGCGGCTCCGATCTTTCTCTCTGCTTCGCTGGCCTTGCCTTGTATACGTGCGTGTGTGTGTATATACGCGTACACTTACTAGCGAGCGCGGCCTTTCTGCGACTTCTCTCTCTTCTCCTCCTCCTCCTGCCTCGACCAAAGTCGGAGCTGGTTATCAGATCGTTCGTATAAAACTATCGTATCGTTTAAATACGCACTGAAAGGTGAGGCGATGCATCAGGAGATACGGGGGCGCGGTGGCAGCAGCGAGGAGCTCGAAATCAGGCAACCCGTCGTCGCTCGGCCAGCGCAGAAAGAGAGGAGCTCCGTCCGGCCCGTCGATCCGCGCTGAAGATACAGCGGGCTGGAATCCATGGGAACCAGCAGCAACGAGCCGGCGGGGCAGCGATCGCCAAGGGAACGAGTGAGAGAGAAAGGCTTATAACGCACGGCCCTTTCTTTTTCTTCACTCGTCGAAAGACGAGCAGCACCTATCCATATATAACATATATATGTACATTTATACACGTATACGCTAGAATATACTTATTATTTATACACTTACACATGCACTCATAGGCCAAAGTCCACGTACATGGAAGTCAGCTAAACGAATGAGAGAGATCTTTAGCACGCGCGCGCGAATGGGCCTCCCCCCGATCATCCGCTCGCCGCTATTAAGAATGAGATCGCTACTGTCAGATCGCCGCTCCCTATATATACATATAGTGTACTGAGAGATTACAAGCACAGCCGCGCTTACCTTCTCCTCCTATTATCTAATTTACGAGGCTATACCCCTATATATATATATCCTCCCTCCCTGATGTACATCACACGTGAGATATATGCAACAGCAGCTTCCATATACTTCAGCAGCTCTCAATTAGGACTCATGTTTGGTAACTCATACGCCCCATCTTCCTCTTTCTGATTGACTTCCATCGCAGTGCTTTGGGACATTTTCAAGTCACTCTCTCGGAATGCATATTTTTATTAAATAGTGTGGATGATCTAATGGTTTGTTTTTTTCTAAATGGGAGTATTTACTCTCTGGTGCAAGCAATGAGTAAACAAGAAAGAAATGAAAAAAAAAAACAAAAACAAAAAAAAAAAACAGGAGCAGGAGAGAAGGACAAGAGGTCCGATCCTTACGTATATTCAGGTCACACGCAACATTTTGACAGAGAGAGAGAGAGAGCCCTCAGACATATGAGACTCTCTCTCTCGCTCTCTCAGACACTTTCATACGTATACGTTCGAGTCGCACTCCCTGATTAGCCGTGTATAAATACTGTGACGGTCCGTATTAGCCGGCGCGCGAGTTTCACATGTGAAAGAACCTCTCGAGGATTCGCACAGCAACAAAAAGCCCTCCTGCGACTATATGTATAATATATTTATTACAAGGGATCTGCAGGCGCTCCGGTGTAATATGCCATTTTCGAGGTGAGACGAGCTGATGAAGAGGAAGGGGGTGGACAGCCCAGTGCCTATAATGCCCCTCGGAGCGTGAGTATTGTTCGGGCCCCTCGAAGATGGAGTGGGCATATGGATGCGTGACAGCTCGAAATCCAATACACCCTATATGAGTATATTATATACCTGTTCACCGAGCGGCTACTCATGGCGAATCTCGTGCGTCGCTTGTCGTGGCTATATACATGGGATCCGCCGAGCGCCGACTGCTCCCAAGACTCTGTATCATATACTTGAGTGCTCTCGCACCTGAGTGTTTTTTTTTTTTTTTTTTTTTGAAGTAGGAGAGGACTCGTCGACACCACCCACCAAAGTGCGCGTGCATTCTTCGCGTTCTTTTCGATATTTATATTTTTTTTACAGGGGGACGCAAGACGCTGAATTCTTCGGAAGTGAAGCGGAAGTGCGGCTCTCTGCATGTTTTTTCTTTTTTTTTTTTTTCTTCTTTTCAATTGAATTGGCCCCCAGGGGCTTTTTTTTTTTTCATTTTGATTTTATTTTTTCCTTTTTTTTTGTTATCTAAATAAAATAACGATTTATGATGGAAAGAGAATTTAGTTCTATCACAGGCAAAATAATATAAAATTATCGAACTGAAAAATAATGGATTTTACGAATTAACTCTTTTTTTGCTATAAATTTGAAGTAGTACTTTTTTTTTCTAGATATCGATCCACCAAGTGATAATGGGTTCAAAATCAAATCTATTAGAATACATTGATGCTTTAAAATTGTCATCCTTGACTCTACCATATAAATACAGATGCAAACTCTCTCACGCAAAAGGCGAAACTAATTTTCAATGCACAAAAAACAGTGAATTCGTGATGGTTGTTTTGCAAAGTTTTTTTTGCATTAAAAAAAAATTTGTTATTTTTGTTTCAGACACCGGAGAGACCGGCTTCGTGAACGCCATCATGGCTGCCGGGGTGACTTACGCGGTGACGCGGGCCTGCACGATGGGCGACCTCGTCGAGTGCTCCTGCGAAAAAATGACTCCAAAGAGTGAGTATTTATCGTCTTGTATTTTTTGATTCGTATAAAATACTCTGAGAAAATCGCACGAGCAAGGATGTCGCGTAGAAACAAATAGCAGGCAAACACAGAGTATCTTGGTGAAATGCTCGCGTGGCGGGTAATAGGCAATTGAAATAACAATTGTCCATTAATCACCCTTGTCTCGTACGTATAGGTAGCATTAAATTTACCGATTAGATCGAGAGTCCCTCTTAGAAACGATCATGTCGAATGAAGCAGAACACAATCACAGTAGCGCTCACTCGGATCTACACAGCTAAATTGATTTCTGCGCATTTTTCCGCGAGTCACCTGTAATTTGTAGCTACGGGCTCTTGCGCAACAGATTGGCTGACGCGCGTCCAGCAGAAAATATTAAAGACGGGATCGACGCTTTACCGAGTTTAACAAATCAGCTATATTATATTTTGCCGCATATTTTGTCGATTTTTTATCCGATTGTCGTTGCACGCTCAGGTAGTCGCTTCGGGAAGCTCGGCAGACTCGCCAGCCGGAGCAAACACCTGCCCACGGACGCGGACTGGGAGTGGGGCGGCTGCGGGGATAACGTCAACTTTGGCTTCAAAAAGTCGAGGGAGTTCATGGACGGGCCCTACAGGAAGCGCAGCGACATCAAGACCCTTCTCAAGCGACACAACAACGACGCGGGCCGCTTCGTACGTATAAGTACATGTTAAACTTTCTCTCGAGTTGCAATGATAATGTTACTCTACGTGAATTTACGACGCACGTCGGTGTTATTTGAATCGGCAAAAGTACGAAATTCATCCAAGCACACGAACAGAGTCGCAAATCACGGTGATGGAGTGTTTGAGCTCGAAAATCGGCATTTTGTGTGTCCAACAGACGGTGCGCAACTTCATGCGGACGGAGTGCAAGTGCCACGGTCTGTCGGGCTCGTGCACAGTACGGACCTGCTGGCGCAAGATGCCCTCGTTTCGCGAGGTGGGCAACCGGCTGAAGGAGTCTTTCGACGGCGCGGCCAAGGTGATACCCGGGAACGACGGCCACAGCTTCATCACGGAGGGCCAGACGATCAAGCCACCGGGGCGCTTCGACTTGATCTATAGCGAGGACTCGCCCGATTTTTGCCGAGCGAATCGAAAGACGGGGGCCCTGGGGACTCACGGTAGGCAGTGCAATGCCACCTCCCAGGGAGTCGACGGCTGCGAGCTGCTCTGCTGCGGGAGGGGATACGACACGAGGATCGTCAGGGAGAAGGTCAACTGCGAGTGCAGGTTCAGGTGGTGCTGCGACGTCACCTGCAACACGTGTCTCGTCAAAAAAACACTTAATACGTGCCGTTGATCTATCACCACTGATTATCCTCGGTTATACAATACATATTAATATGTTTCTCAGTGCGCGTGAGTGAGACAGACTCTCTTTTTATAGAGTGACATAATTATATTACATTATACATATACATATAAATATGAATATTTTTTACCTTTTTTTTTTTTTCTTGTTTAGC